AACCTGCGGGGAACTCTGCAAAAAAAGCATCTTCGCACGGGCAGCCCGTGCGTTGGCCATTTATTTTTTTTTTTTAACACAAGATCTACGGTAATGAGTGCACAGGTTAAATGTAAAGCAGCCATTCATACAAATTACTTCAAGCTTAGCGCAAAAACGTATGATTACTTGAGCAGGGAAGGCGCCCCAAGGTGGCCATAATATGTTACCATCATTAGCCATCATCTACTGCACAGGCTGTCGGCAGTTCCCTCTTTCGGAAGTGCATAAAAAGCAGTCTGACTTCCTGACAGACGTTCAGCACACCAGTACCAATTTTTTTTTTCGAAACAAATCGAATTGTGAGAAGATTTGCATTTTTCCTGGTAGATTTTAGCCCAACGGTCGAATCTAAGAACAGACGCTACTTATCATTACAACAAGTTGTCGGATGGCTCACATAAGAGAAATACAATTTGTGCTGAATTTCGAGGTGATCTTCGGTTTCCTGTGTGTGAAGTGACGAAAATATGAATGAGCGAAGACTTCAGCTTGTGTAGAAAATTTGGCTAATTTGTCTAAAAAAAACTAGAAATACAAAATCACTATTTTGGTGAAAAGATTTTTACTACGAAATGCAAAATGTGTGAATTCATGCTGATTGACTTCGAGCGCAGAAAAGTTCGCTGATCGCAAGAACATTGCCGACCAAATAAATGCACTTCAGTTTCTACACCAGTGATTCTCAGTGAAATCCGGCTGACCTTTTAATGTCCCTTTCCTCATAATCCGAATGCAGAGGAAATTCACGATTTGATAAATCTGCCAAAACTTACTTGTTAAGACTTCAAACAGACCGCCATTAGCATCAAAACAAGCCGCATAAAGGATTGCATCGTCTCGACCATGGAAATGAGCGATTTTTTGTTCCAGAGTTCGATGTAAATCCTGAGTTCCACAAATGAACCTTACCGAACTCATGCCAGCACCATGGCTATCCAATGTATCTTTTCCCGCTTTAATCACCTCCGGATGGCTGCTTAACCCTAAAAACTTTACTTTTGGGGGGACGGAAAAACAAGAAGCAAGAGCAAAAATTATTTCATACAGTTTCTGAACTGGAGTATTCAGCAACAGCGCAGTCGGTAATTCAGATCAAAACAACGTCTGATTGCTCAATTCCATAAGCTTTGCTGAAGAATAAAACCTTAACACCTAGTTCATCAAAATAGAACAAAACAAACCTAGATAATTGTTTGCGCAAAAATTCAGCACAGGCGTATCGCGGTTTTTTATTTTGATTTCCATTCCCTGTCGTCCGACAATGATTCTTTCGGTCTTATACGTGCCAGCATCCTGGAAATTGTCATTCGCACGGTTCGGAAAACGCTTGCAATTTCTAGAAGTTCAGGAAAAACGCAGCAGCAAGAGAACAAATCGAGATTATGAGTTCCATGGAAAAAGTGAATTGAAAAGGTAAGAGAGGTCTTACTTGTATTGCACTGAGCTCCGTGTTCAGTGATTCGATGAGTTGCTGCCTGGCCATCGAGTAGCCACGACGCAGTGCCAAGAGCAATCCAGCGGTGTCACACAGCGCCTTCCGTGTCGCCATCCTGCAATCAACGACTGTCCACTTTCATGCGTTTCTTCGCATAAACTAACAGGAACGTACTCTGGCCAAATTCTCAATATATATGCAACAGCAAGAATGACCCAACGTGCTGCCCCGGTACTGTGCAGAGGAGTAGCTGTGCGAGTACCCCCTTCTTTTGACACCACCCTGCCATCCAGTGCTCCGCGAGTGCTTGCCTTTTTTATTTGGCGTACTCTGCCCAGTGGATTTTACTTTCCCGCGTGGTCAGGACAATGCCCTGCACGGCGTCCACCTGACCAGCGTCTTATTTTCAAAATATGGAGCCATATGTGACCAGTAAGAGATAGTAGACAATGTCCAGCCTTCTCGCAAGCTTCTCTCAACGAGGCCGCAAAACCACTCATGTGGAAAGAAAACTGGAATGTGCGAAACGAAGCCAGAAAGAGAGGAAAATTTCATCAAAATGGGGTGAAATTTAGCCAAAAGTCGATTAAAAAAAGCTAAATCGAATTCAACAGTTATAGCCAGAAGCAGGAGTAAATGGCTAAAAAGATGTGTTTGAAAAAGACAGCAACGAATCATTTCGAGAGAGTGGGATTTTGAACGGAGGACGCCAAGATGCCATCCCGAACAGAGGACGCCAAAAAACTGGGATAAGCTCCTTTACCCACATCTGACCACATCACTATCACGGTGAAGATCCTTCGTACATGTGGCTGAATCTTCGAGGAAATCCAAAATTGCGATTCTTGGGATGGCACGACCGAGCCAAAGGAAACGAAATAAAATGAATAACGCAGAAAAGTCCTCCTTCACACGCAGGTCACCCGGCGCACCCGGAAGCAATGTTAGCACATGCAAATGTTCACTCAATAATGAAAGAGGAGCAAAAACTGTCGCTTTCTGCCTCCAGTGTCCAAAATTCAGGGACACAGTCAACAGCACCAGGGTCGGGTGCACATAGTCCGCAAGACAGAAAGGCGCATCTTATTTAATTCAAAAATCTGGCTCAGCCACTGTGCACCTCTTCGTGCGACCCAGCATATGCCAGTGCACTCTACAGAATTTCGTCATGCGAACCTTCACCAGAAGCCTGTCGAGGCCCAGTTGTGGTGCTGAACATGAACGTATACGACTTAAGGGACAGAAACATTTCTATTCGGAAACCGCTCTTCTTTTAATTCTACTCATTTCGACTTGCTCTCTTTTTGGTTTTAGCTTAATCTGTCACTTGCAAAATTTTTCACTGCTACGGCATTACTTCATCGTTATCCCAATCACATAATTCGCTTGAAGGTATCCTGCTTCTCAGCAAAAGGGGGGGGGGGGGGGGGGGGGGGGGGGGG